GACTACAGGTCAGCTAGTTCAATAACCAAGAAAAAGTAGGGAAATACCTACTTATCAGAAATGAAGCCATAAAACCATCTCTCTCTGCAGCTGGCATGATTCTCTAGATAGCAAATTCCAACAAATCTACCCTAAAGCTACTACAACTAATTATTGAATTTAGCAAGTGAATTTAGGGATTAAAAGATCAATTTGGAAAATGTATTTTTTTCTATAAACCAGTAAAAAACAACTGAAAATCAAAATTTTGAAAGTACCATTTCCCCTAGCACCAAAAACATGAAAAATTTAGGTACACAGCTAACAAAGTGTGTGCGGAACCCTGGAAAAGAAGCCAAAGACCAAAATAAACACAGAGATATAGATTGTTAATGGACTGGAAGGCTCATTGCTAGAATAATAATTTTCCTGAAACTGGTCTGTATATTCAACACACTCTCAATAGGTATTTTTTAAAACAGATTTCAACAAACTAATTCTACAATTTGCATGTTGTCACAAAGAGTATTCAATAGCTGGAAAAAAACCCACAGTTTTTAAAAAGAATGAAATTGGAGAACTCACTATCTAATTTTAAATTTTACGTAAAGCTGCAGTAACCAACACAAGATATCAGTGAAGAGATAGGCACCTGTCAATGGAACAGTATTAACATGTCTAGAATAAAATTTCGCCTATGTAACTAATTTTTTTTTTCACAAAAGCACCAAGATACTTACATGGAGAAGAGATTTTTTTCCCATTTACATCATTGCTGAAGCAGGTGTACAGTCTTACAAAAACAAAGTGCATCTGATCCATACCTCACACCTTATGCCCAAGTTAACTCAGAATGAATCACAGCCCTAAATATAGAAATTGAAACTTTAAGAAGACAAAGTCTTTGTGACCTTGGACTAAACTGTTCTCTGATCAACCACCAAAAGTATTGTCCACAACAGGAAAAACCAATAAATTATGCATCATCAAAATTAGGAATTTATTCTTTTCAAAAGAATGAAAATACAGTCACAGATTGAAATAGTTGCAAATCACATATTTTATACTTGATTTTTTACAAAGGAAATCATTATATATATATGTATGTATGTATGTACAAAGAACCCTCAACACTTGCTATGAACTGTGTCCCCCAAAATTCATATCCTGAAATCCTAAAGTCCTATGTGATATAATGGTGGTTGGGCCGTTGGGGGGTGATTAGGGGCTTACATGAGGGTGGGAGCTGTGAGAGTGAGATGGTAGGTCGGCAAGAATGATGTGCTTACTGTTAAGACACAGTAGCTCTTGAAGGATCAGGTCACTGAAGATGGCTCTGAGGAGTATCTATATTCTAAATAACTAAGAGAGGGTTGAAATAGCTCCCTATTGTCTTAGATTTCATGCCAACATGCTCTTTAGTCTGTACTTGAAATTCCTGTGCACAATTGACATTGGAAAAGATATGTCTGATCTGGGGACATGTGGAAAATCGCTCAATGGAGAAAACCCCATTCACAGAGTTACTGCTATGAATTATTTCTGTCTCAGAGATAAAAACAGTACAGATCTTGGGATGATTATACGAAGCACCCCCAAGTTACAGATGACCAGATACCAAGGATCTTTGGGTACTAATGAATTCTGGCTACTACTGTGATATCCCTCTTAGGGTAAAGGTTTGCTCTATCACATTCTCTGTACATATGTTTTCTCTTGATTGCTTTGGAAAATTATTCATTCTTCAAAAATAAGTGCTGTTTCTTCCTGGAGGTGGATTATGTCTGTTCTTTGATCAGTGCTTCCCCACCTGGCTTGCTTTAGTCAATTACAGGTGAATGTGAATTAAATGTGAGTGAAAGTCAAGCATGTCAGTAGAGGCAGAAGCTTTAAAGCTTCATGTTTGAGACAGAGACTGTTCCAGCCTTGGCTGAAGAGTGAAGACAACACGTAGCTGAGGTAAGCCTTGCTGCAATACTGGAGCATGAACGGGGGTGTCCATGTGAGATATGACCTGTATTGTTGTAAACCTCTGAGGATTTGAGGCTTGTTACTCAAGCACAATCTAGGCTCTTCCTACACAATTTCACTTTAGAGTGTCTTCTACTGGTGGTGAAGAAGGAGGTGTGTCAATGTCATCAGTGACATTTTTTTAAAGATTTACTTATGCATACAGAACTGGGGTACAGGTCAGGTGCAGGGGGTTGAGAGGATTCACCAGAGCAGAGCGGGGAGCAGAACAGGCAGATTGGCTGAAACATACTGCTGAGGGGAGCAGTGGGGAGACAGGAGAGATCTGCCACACCATGTGGGTCAGCTCCTCAGCCAGGGATCACTCATGCTGCAGTGGCTGTGGACAGCTTCATAGTGTTGCGCTTCAACCCACTGCACCACCAGGTTGAGCCCTCAGTGACGTCATCTTAATGTCAGCAGTCATTTCAATGTCTCAAGGCCCGGGCAGGATGGCTAGTCAAGTCCAGAGTACATGGGTTTTGTTGACATCTGAGAATCTCTTTGGGCAAAATCATTTCACAAATCATGCAGAGTCAGCAAAATGCCAGGCACTGTGCTAGGCACTGGATGGAGCGATGAACAAGGCAAGCATGATTCCTTTCTGAGCTTTTATGCTACTGGAAGACAGGCAGTAAGTAAACATCATGCATGATAAATGCCAAGATGAAGTCCAAGGGGTTCGTAGATCATACGACAGTGGATTACATCGGGGCTATGTCATCTCCCTCGATTGGGCCTCCAGAACTAAGAGTATTGCCCGAAGTCACTCAAACAGTACGAGAGCCTTGCTTTCCTGTGTAGGCATTCTGTGGCCTTCTAATGGGTGCCAGTAATCCTCTTTTCATTATTTACATTCTGAGGAGAAACCAGCTGGAATTGGATGAATTAACATACTCACCTCAGAGATTTCAAAATATATTCAAAACACAAGTTATCATTGATACTGGGTCAGTAGAATCATTCCCATTCCTGAAAGTTAGTGTCATATCCTTGATTTTTTGCAAGCACAGCAAAGTTAAAATATTCAACACTCAAACTGGCCATAAGGAAATGTGTTGGTGTTTTGGGCTTGTCTCGTGATAGTATTTCAACAATAACTGCAACACAGACAACTCTCCTTTTCCTCCGTGGGTTGCAACTTTTTGTCTGAAAGTGATAATTTCAACACTGCAATTTTGCCTATTTTTTTTATTTCCCCATTATCCAGGGATTATTCAAACAATCAAAAAATGTTTCCTAAAAAAAGTTTCCCTACTATGTGTCCAATTATAGGGAGGCAGGTAAAATTAAGACTCAGTCTCTACAGGAAAGAAACTCACACTCTAGCAGTGACGCCATTAACAAAAGAAGAAATATGCTTTGGTTATTGGCCAATTATTCCTCATGCTTCTTTCCAGAACCCAAAACTCTGCAAGCATGCTGACCCAAGAGATCACCAAAAGAAGTCAATCAATCACATTTTCTTTCTTTCATTGCCTTCTAACTTCAAGATGCTTCGTGGAAGTCTAACTCATTAGCAGCACAGGGCTTGGGCAATACTTACCATGAGGGCAGGCTTGTTCATCCCTGATGGGCACCCTGGCTGGAACCCACCACTAGTGATTCGCATGAAGCCCTTGTGCCCAGTTATTTTTCTGGGGCGTTTATTTGCTCGCTTATAAAAAGGCTCAAGTTTGTCCCAGCAGTAAGATTCCTGCCCTTGCTTTGAAGAATCTGTACCTCTTACTACCATGTTTTTAAAAGTTTAAGCATTCCAAGAAAGGCTTCCTGCAATACGGTTTTGACTTAGCAGGCACCGAGGCAACGGTGGTCTAGTGGTGTTTCCTGTCTCCCCAGGGCCCGAGCTGATACAGGAATGTGTAAGGGGCGATACCACGTTGGCATTCCGGGTTGGTACTCCCGGAGCTGTGTCGCCAGGCAGCCCCAGGTGTGGCCTCATCCTGTGCCAGAACTCGGACAGCGCTCGCCGTACACGTGGGCACCGACACCACGTGCCGCTGCCCCGCGCCCACCCGCCTCCCTCGGGGGCCTCCCGGCGTCTGCGCGAATGCTCCAGACTACGGGCCGTTTCTGGGAGGGGCTCAGGGTCGGGCTCTCGGTGAACCCCGGCTGCTGGGGGCGCCTTGGGAAAGCCACGTCACAACTCCGCGTGTGCAGGGCTCGCCAGCCGGACTCCCGGGCCACACCCGAGCCTCGCGGACCTGTCCAGACCACAGCCCCACGGCCGGGCACCCACTCGCACCTGGAAGGGGCGGAGCCGCGACCCGCCCTCCAGGCCC